TAAATTCTAATGAACAGAACAAAATTCCATTTCAAAAGAAACAGATTGATACTTCTATACATTCTGACAGTAATAACTGCAATATATTAATGCTCCAAAAAAGAAAAGCAGTTATAGAGAATGAATTATCGAATGAAAAAGAAAATATTAATAGAACACGAAATAATGATATAGAAAACCAGTCTTCTTCCAAAGCAGATAAAGCTCTTGAAGATATTGGAACATCATTAAATACAAATTATTTGGAACAGGACAAAACCTCAATTAAAAAAAAACAGATCAAGATTAATACTTCTATATATTGTGATGATAATAACGACATATTAGTTTCCCAAAAAAGAAAAGCAGTTATAGACGATGATTCGAATACATTATGTAATAAGAAACAAGATATTAATGGATTACGGAACATTCATGTTAAACAACCGCCTGTCAAAATAGATAAAGTCCTTAAGAATATTGGAATATTGAATGTAAAATCTTGTGAACAAAAGAAAAAAAAAACCAAAAAGGAATTACAAAATACTATTGAAGTATCAACAAAATTGAATAATATTTATGAACAAACATATGATTTAAAAAAAGATTATTATGAAAGAAGGTTACATTATTTAAGAAGATCTGTAGAAGCACAAGAAAAAATGACTAATATCATGGAGATGTGCAATGAAAAACTGACAGACGTTACAGAAAAGTGCAATTTGTCTTAAGAGAAAATATACTACTGTGATAGTAAGGAACAATAGTGATCTATTAAACTTGTCACAATTTTATTGCTAGATATAATTGATAAGACTGATGTACGAATTACGATGTACTAATGCGAGTAATACTCCGATTTTTTTAATAATTAAAAATATAAGAACGTTCAAATGATATAAGCAATTCTCACTAAATCATTTTTTTTAGACGCTTATTTAAAATAACTTACACATTGTTTTGTTAGTTTCTCTCTTATTGTTTACGCGCTTATACATACACAACAGAATTTTTATTTGTAAGAGGATCGTTATAAGAGAATTTATAATTTTGTTTTTATCTTTAAAAATGTTTACTAATAAGCATTTATAAATTTGTTTTTATCTTTAAAAATGTTTACCAATGAGCATATTATGTCATAAACAATAAATAATATTTGAAAACTTCTAACTTTTTCACATAGCTTTTATTTGTATTTATTTGTGAAAATAAAGAAAATATTAAACTTAAAATATATCTAGTGTATTTGGATCACTGTTCCACCCTAATTAATGGAAAAATTAAAACATTTTTTTAGACGCTTACCCAGGGAGAAATGACAATGAAATCGACGTCGAGTTGACATCGAATCGACGTCGATTCCACCGTCATTTCTCCCTGGGTACGTAATAATATGCTGACATAATTTGTAATTTTAATGATTACTTGTTATTACATTAATGTAAATATAAATATACAAACACTAAGAATAAAGGATTAAATAGTAAGAAGGAAGAACACATTAATGATATTTATAATTCACGAGAAGTAATTTGCAATCATTAGTCGCTGTTTATTTCTACCAGCTGCAAGATCTGGATCAATTCTGCGAACGTTTCTTTCAGGTATATTTTCTTCATTTTCTATATGATTTTCGTTATTGTACATCCCAAAGTCCATAGCTTCATCATCATCGTTTAAATATAATGGGACATTCTCATTAATGCACATATTATGTAATACTGCACATGTATATATAATTTTAGATGCTGTTGGTGGAGAGTAGTGGAGTACTCTATGCTTTAATAGACATCTAAACCGCATTTTTAGAACGCCATTGCATTGTTCGATTAATGAACGACATTTCATTTGTTTTCTATTATATTCAGCTTCTGGACTACCTTCGATAGCATCAATTATAGGAGTCATCATCCAAGGCCGTAACAAATATCCTGAATCACCTTCAATTGAAAGCATTTACATAATAAAATTTTTGATGTTATATTAATTATTCGTTTTTATGTAAATTTATTTAAATTTTATTAAATACAAATTATTTGGAACAGGACAAAACCTCAATTAAAAAAAAACAGATCAAGATTAATCCTTCTATATATTGTGATGATAATAACGACATATTTTTTTGTGGATAACGTCTATAAAGCTGAATCATAGCGTTTTTTGCATTCGAATTATTCCATATAAATGAATCATGAGTGCTTCCTGGATAACGTGCGTTAATGTGCATTATTTTTAACCGTCACATATCTGTAATAAATACATGTATGAGATTATATAAAAATTTATAATAAATATATGTGTATGTCGTAAGCAAACGATTACTTTAGGAAAATAGCTTATGAATATACATATGCTATCTGCCTGGACAAATGGCTCTCTCGCCTATTTATTTGTATTCAAATGTTATTTTCTCAGACAAAAGTTGTTTTCGAACGTAGATTTTAAGTGTCAAAAATCAAGAACAGTGGACATATATAATAAAATATATGTATAAAGTTTTGATGTACGTTGTCGAATATAAAACTTATTGTTACCAATTGAGTAGTTATTGAATGATATCCTTTCCTATTTATGTATATATGTTCTGGATGAACATTATTATTTGCTGCTGGTGGGACAATAGCAATATGAGTACAATCAATGCATCCTATTGTACCTGGAAACTCAAATTTTCTATAGAATCTAGAATAAAAAAAATTTAGATTTATATTTATTTAATGAACATTTATTTTAATATATATTTATATTTATTTATACATTCATATATTTATTTATATTTATATTCATATTTATATTTGTATTTATGTTTATAGACTAAAATAAAATAAATTCATATTCATACTGTGTTCGTAGTTCGTTGAATTCTGCCAAAGTACTAGGAAATTTAATCCATTGATTCATAATTTCTGGTCTTGACATTATATCTATGATTTCATTGATATTGCGCGACACAGTTGGCTGACTAACTCCCATGTAAATATTTTTTCCAATGTTCATTTGATAAGATCCACTCGCAAAAAAATGCAATGCTGTTATAACCTATTTAATATTAATGTTAATATTAATATTAATATTTCTTATTTTTTGCTTACATTGATGTGCATAATATTATATTGTATACATATATACATATATGTACCCAAGGAGAACAAGAGAGTCAAAATAATGTCAATTTGACGTCATATTGACGAATTTATATGTCCTTTTTTGGTCATAATACAAATCTCGATCTCATATGATCTAAGAATGACTTTATATAAAGTCATATTTAGATCATCTGAGATCGAGATTTGTATCCTGACCAAAAAAGGACATAAATTCGTCAATATGATGTCAAATTGACATTATTTTGACTCTCTTGTTCTCCTTGGGTATATACATATAAATTATATGTACATACATATTTACCTATATACAATTCTTTTCTTTAAAATATTTATCTTTATTGTAGAATTTATCGCAGATATTCTTGTTTGAGGAACCAAATATGGCTCCCCC